TGCAGCTCAGCTGACGCCCTGAAGTGAAAAGGAAGGCCCAGGCATGTGAGACCACTCACCCTCCATCTTGACGAGGCCGTGGATTTCGCTGTGTAGGGAAGGTACCTGAGGCACGATTGAACTCCCAACCAGCACCGCCCCAAGGCCGACGATTATACAATTTCATCCGACTTTCACAGAAATATATTCGACAAGCCAATGAAAGTTAGAACCATTCATACACATACATGCAAGCCATAGACTTGCCAAACCTCTCGAGCCACTGCAAACGGACTATGTGTTCCTACACCTCCCAAAAGGACCCTCCTCTAAGCCCATTGGCTGCGGTTCTTGCCGAGTATACATCTCCCATCCTCCTGCTGGCACCGACTGGACTAAGGACACCACACTGCATAATCGTCAAGCTATAACAAAACTACGCAGCATGGGAATTTTCGGCCGTTTCCTATCCCTACTACTTCACAATGCTAACAGGTACAGTAATTCCACTACGAATATGATTGCCGAGCAGTTCTTGGAAAGTATTATACAAATCTGGCGGGAGTTGCGGAAATATATGTTCGCTTTCCTCAACTGAGCTCAGGAGATTCCTCACGTACTATAGGAGTTCATATACGAAGTGGAAAAGAAATGTACAAAAACCAATGAGAATTTCCCGAAATTTCCTCAAAAATTTCATTTCGTCGGCCACACATAGTTGACCATATGCATATTTTCCTACACTCTTCTGAATTCAGGATCCTCAACAAAGCTCCGGAGCAAGAAACCCAGAAAAAAACTAACTGCAGCTCCCAACCGATAGCTGGGAATCAACCATACATTGTATCATCATCTTGATTCCTCCGACACCATCACTCGCTTTACTCTTCCAATACCACAGTGTGAAAAATATGCAAATGTGTTTGGTGACAATATGGAAATTGCGAGGAAATGTTCTTAACGATTTCTTCACACTTCTTATCAATTTCGTGAATCTGCCTCTATGGTCAGTGAAGGGACTCTAGCCCAGATGAGGAAAGCGACCATATATCCCAGCATTGCAAAATTACTTCATACTAGTTGGAGTATCATTTCACACAGTAATACCATAACTTTCACAATTCTCTGGTATAATTTACACCCACTTCTATTCCGTAACCCCGCCCCTACCCTCATCCCGCTCCCGCTCTCGACGAGCTTGCTGATGAGCATCCACGTGAATCTGAGCTTCCCCCACGTTCTTCCGGGGTCTCGGGGCCTCCGGAAAGAGGAGGTCAATGAGCGCATGATTCGGCCTAACACACTCTTACTCACTCCTCCATTGATTCTTGCTCATCTTAAACAATCTTGCATTTCCTCAACGCCATGTACAGTCACAGATGTCTCTCCAGAAGCGTGAGGTTCCACAAACAACAACATTCCGATGCCTTGAGGATGAATACCCAACCAGTCATCAATTCCATGGAAAAAAAATTTCCGATAGTTTTCCTACACATCCGCCATCATCGGCGTTACATGCATCACCAACCCCACTCGTTCAACTGCTAACATCAAATTCTTCACCAGAAACAAAAACCAAAAAATTGCACGTGTCACAGTATAAGTAGTAATGATAAAGTGACCAATATATTCCTATCAGTCTATAGACTCCCACTCGCTTCTCAACACCCCACTTCTATTCTTCGCTTTGCATTCCTAGACCTACATCGTGCGTAATTTTATCACGTTTTCGTGCACTTCTAGCGATTTGTGAATGTCTCTACCTCCCAGGCTTGATGGTATACTAGAGAGTCTAAGCCCAACAGCCAACCTACTTGATGCACATCGGGTCGGACCATATCCGGCAAACTGGGCACGATGCTGGGCCGCTGATGGGATCCCATGAGCCAACTCTGGAGACGCAACCAGACTCCACAAACTTGATCACACATTCTCGGCAGTAGGTATGGCCGCACATTCCCAGGGCCTGACCAAGGCGGCTTCCATGCCAAAGGTCCCCGGTTCGATCCCCACCGTCGGCAATCGATCTTTCTTATCAAAGGGAAACCAGCACACAGGACAAGGAAGGGATTCCGGCATGTTAAAAAACCTCCTGACCGTCAATGATAAGCATCTTTCATAGCGCACAGCGAAGAATTCTATTGGTGACAATTCCACGAGAGGTCATGATACATTCCCTGCCCCCAATCAAAGATTCAAAGTAGGTCCAGAGTGAGTACAGAGGCGACAACATCCTCCCAACACGCGATGTCACCATGGAGCGATGTGTCACCGTTATGGTGACACCGACGACGACCCTAGCATGAACACGACATACAGCTACTAACCAGGACCCCCACTGAGTAGCATGCCGTCCCACAAGCCTTGTCGTTTACAGTCGATTAAATAGCACAAATCGATATCATGCTAATTACCACAGAAACTACAACAACAAGCGCCCTCGATTATAATATCCACACTATACCACCCAACCTCTTTCGTATCTTTCAACCCAAAACCTTCGCCGTGCGCTATTTTCCTCAAACACTTTACCACTGCATCCTCCATCACACTAGCATTGATCTCACCCTTGGCACCCTGATGGACCTCAAACGTATCTTTCATTCGGGCAAGCTCACATATCTCTAATAGATTCAAAACTCGAGGATATTCCGCAACCAACGTAGCCAATTGCCGACTATACGCTGCTGTAGGTCTATACCGTCCTTCTCCCAGCGAACACCGTACTACCCGAAATACCATTTTTTCATCAGAAACTCCGCCACCATAAGCCAGCGCCGTTATCATATTATTCACATCTTCCGAACTCACGCTCAAGTCACTCTGCTCGCAGCAATCCATCGCACGCTCCAAGATTCTCACATCATACTCCCATTCGAGAGTAGCGCTCGCCCAGATGATCGATGAGGATTCCCGTACCGTGACCTCGCCCAAATCCTTCAACCCGGGTAAGGGATTCCTCTCTCCTTTTCTATACCTCACAGAGGCCAACGAATGTAACAACACAGCGTATTGTTTTCCACTTAAATTCTCATACCGCTCCACGATCACATCCATAATTCTTTCAAACACTTCATAATTATAAAAGTGCAATTTCGCAAACGCTGCTGCTAACGCGCATATCCCATCGGCCGTGAGCTGACCTAATCCGTATCTTTCCACACCTAACCTCGCCGTCCAAGAAAGTATCTTTTCCTCGCGCACACCTACGCCCGCGTACGCCACTACTACCATCTGACTTAACCACATTTTAACAAATCTAGGATCGTGATTTTCGACGATCCATCGCGACACTATTCCGGCCAATTCTGAGTCCACCCGACGAGCCCTCGATAAAATATCAAAAGCCTCTACCACAATCGGCAGGGAGTTCCGAAACGCCTCAGATGTAACACAAAACGCCTTCAAGGATCGAACTGCGTCCATCTCCGCTCGAGTCGATGGTGATGATATGGCCAGCCGCTGGAATGCTATCAGCATGCGATGGAAGGCGGGTGGAGATTTCATCATACTAAAGGCAAACGAGGAATATAAAAATGCCTATACCGAACTCAGGTGGTAACATACAGCAGTATGAGAGGAAGCTAAGCATGGGGGAGAGTACCCCTTGGCGGCCATGATGAATGAGAACACAACTCCACAAGAGTGTGGATGCTGCAAAGTATAATCTTAATTTATTATTACGTGCCATGTCCTACTACACTGCAACGGTATGACTCTTCCGAGATCTTTACAGTGAGAAATGGCGAGGACACTAGACGTAAGTTCATTTTCTGTGGACTGGATAGAGTTGATAAACGTTTTACCCATGGCTCGTACAATCTACCATGTTAAATGTGTATAATTTGTTTCCACTCAAAAGTTGAAAACTAGACGTAGTTAACACTCAATAGCTTATAGTCTGCCGCTGGGTGAAAGAACATCATCATGGGAATTCTCCTGCCCGTTCCTTCCCCAATCAGCACGCATGCCCGACCAGCCAGTAGCTGCATGAAGATGTCGACTAAAAGAATCTCAATATCCTCCCGATCCCCCTCATCGTCCCCCCCAGGTCCCCACTACCCTACACACAACTCCCAAGATGTGGATCCCTCCCCTACGACGATATCGATCACTGCGGCCGACCCAACCTCATCCGTATCATATGCGCTCAACCTCAAGATACTCCTCTGCTCACCTTTACAACCTACAGCCTGCTCGATGAGTCATAACCCCCACCCTGTGCGCACTATGAAGGATTCTCATCACCACACATTGTAAGATACGGATTATGTCCGTCCGAGACGACAAGATATGTACTTCTATTAAATTCATCAAACACCAATGCTTACTCGGAAAATTCTTCAACTACAAAACCAACTAAAGCCTCGTGCTTTCCCACCAACTCTCGCAAACATGCCAAGGAAGGCTAAAGATATTCTCCTCGAAAATCTTCCCTGTGCGCACTTCCTAATCTCCATACCACGCGGTTCCTCTAAATGAGGTCTAAGGCAACGACTGCAGTTAACGCGCTGTGAGGGTCACGACACTTGATTTCGGCGGAGCGTAACGATGAAGTTTCACCCATTTTACATGAACTCTTCCTTGGATTTTGTCGTTCTTCCTCGGATGTTGTATATCACCCCACAACAATGCCATCACCATAATTAAACCATGTTTGTGACGTACGTGCTCAGTGTCTACGCGCTCGCCCGTCTAATCGATATTGCAACACGTTCAGTGATCTCCCACTCTCGCGGCAATTGTTGATAGAAAGTTGGTATTGACAAATCCATGGGAGGATCTCACGGAGGCAGCATGAAGCATCGATGTAATGACAAAACCATTAGCAACGGACAACAATCGATCTCAACTCAGCTTCTCAACGAGGCAGTGGCCATGGCAGAGGACGAGGGCCTCCTAGAGGCCCCTTTAGAGGAAAGGGCAGTCGTGGTCCCGTTAAGGAAGACCGTACTAGATTCGTATCTTCCACGGGGGAACCTAAGATACCATCTCAGGGCCGCCACCACTCTGTGATGAGGACGCTACTACTATGGCGTGTCGAGCTTTCATGACGGGAGATTGCCCTCGGGGAAGCGACTGCAGGTACGACTTGGTTGGACCTAATCCGTGGACACCATGCAGGGCAGGAAAAATATCTTTAGGTTCGTTCACTATGTGAAGAGATTACATGAAGTCGTTGATGCCCATTCCGATGGGAAATGCATAAATGCCGTTATACTCATTGATGACACTCTTTTCACTGGTAGTATCCAAGGTTGCCGCTGGTAAGATACACATTAGGTCCTCAGGTGGCTCCGATGGTAAACTACGCACATGGAAGGCAGTACCAACGCCTGCTGGTAAGAATAATTTCGTGGCGCAGCGGTAATTATTTCCCCCCCCAGGTCACATTGAATTAACTCCCGATCTCATCGTTGACACGGATGGGCAACCAGTGATGTCGGTTTACTTCGAACCCACCCGAAACGAGGCCGGCAACATCACCAACGGAGGTGTTATGTTCTGCGGACTTGAAGATGGTCGAGTTAGAGTGTAAGGCTACTACTACAATGAGTTTACCACAAAAGCGTCTTCAACGCAGTTTCGACAAGACCACGGGTGCACAGTTCGACCTGCTTGGTCATGCTAAGGCCGTGCATAGTCTTGGGGTCCTGCAAGGGGTAGTGACTGATGTTAATAGGGATTGGGGTTACTAGTGTCGATAGATACTGGTAACTTCATCGTGGGATGGTACGGTACGGCTGTGGACGCCCAAGGACGGGACTTATCAGAATACTCATACCATTGAGATTGGCTATCCAGTCAAGTGCATGACGGTAATAACAGTAGCAATGATAGTAGTAGCAATGGTAGTAGTAGCAATGGTAGTAGTAGCAAAAATGGTAGTAGTAGCAATGGTAGTAGTAGCAATGATAGTAGTAGCAATGGTAGTAGTAGCAAAAATGGTAGTAGTAGCAATGGTAGTAGCAGTAGCAATGGTAGTAGTAGTAGTAGTAGTAGTAGTAGTAGTAGTAGTAGTAGTAATAGTAGTAGCAATGGTAGTAGCAGTAGCAATGGTAGTAGTAGTAGTAGTAGTAGTAGTAGTAGTAGTAGTAGTAGTAGTAGTAGTAGTAGTAGTAGTAGTAGTAGTAGTAGTAGTAGTAGTAGTAGTAATAGTAGCAATGGTATTAGTAGTAGTAGTAGTAGTAGTAGTAGTAGTAGTAGTAGTAGTAGTAGTAGTAGTAGTAGTAGTAGTAGTAGTAGTAGTAGTAGTAGTAGTAGTAATAGTAGTAGTAATAGTAGTAGCAATGGTAGTAGCAGTAGCAATGGTAGTAGTAGTAGTAGTAGTAGCAATGGTATTAGTAGTAGTAGTAGTAGTAGTAGTAGTAGTAGTAGTAGTAGTAGCAATGGTATTAGTAGTAGTAGTAGTAGTAGTAGTAGTAGTAGTAGTAGTAGTAGTAGTAGTAGTAGTAGTAGCAATGGTGGTAGTCTTCCTCGCTCTACGAACATTGTATTATGATAACTTTCAGATAGCAGAGCAGACGATGTGGATCGGTGGTGTATGCGGTATTACTGGTATCAGTATAGTAGACCTCACCATACAGGGTCGGATAGATACCCAAAGTCCCGTTATGAATATGCTAATGTATTACCGTAACTTTGCTTGCTCCTGGCATCACTCATAAGAGGTCCCTCCTTAGATATGAGAATCATGTTGTTGCCATAACCTTGGACGGCAAGTTGTTTGTGTTCGACCCGAAGTAGCAGTAATAATTTCGTGGCACGCGACATTTTCTTCTCCTCAGTGGCAACGAGACCGCCAGTATGGACTGTGCTCTGCACTACGTCAACAACGGTGAGAAGCTCCGGAAGCCCTGTTGTAATTCCTGTCTCGATGGAGTCATCATTAATGGTCAACCCGCACGTAGGTCGTGGGCTTGTGGCTCAATGAGAATCTTTTGTAGTGTTGGTCGGGCAAATGAATGGTAGCATACGGGCATATAGTCTGCCGACATTGAAGCCGATACTGTGGTGGCAAACGGCTATGCAGAGGAGAAACGCGGATGTCCGTATCGTGAAGTCTCTTGGTGAGGTCGTGGGTTCGATCCCGGCACGTTGCATTTTTCTTTGGTAGTTAATACCAACCTATTCATAACGGGATGTGCCGATGGAAGTTTGTCGTTATGGCAGTGGCAAAACATTGGCTGAGTTTCTCTTCCTCTTCTCATACCCTTTGAGGGCAAAACACGTTAACAGGTCGACTGTATGCTGATTGCAATATTATTATTAACTCCTCGATGGTTAGACACGATTCACATCCGTCTTGTGTTTACTAGTACTCACCAGGAGCACTCACTTAGTTTCTCCCACAACACAACGACAGTGAAAGCTATCGAAAAGCAGATAAATGAACAGATACATTCAATACAGATCTCGAAGGTGTCGAGTAGATCATCATCTCCGACAGTAATTGTCTTTGTAGCACAATCCGCATACATGTGTGACCGCTATTGGTATAGGCAGCGTACAGTGATCTACAGCAAGACTTTAATGATGGAGAAATACCCTACCCGGGGATCGAACCGGGGACCTATGTAAAACTCATTGGTTGAATCCATGGACTCAGTGAGCTCCGCCCTTTCGTCACTAATCATCATCTCCGACGGTAATTGTCTTTACAGCACAACTCACATGCATGTGTGATCGCTATTGGTATCGGTAGCGTACAGTGATCTACAGTAAGATTGTGCAATACAATGCCAATGAATGACTGGATACCACAACAATAGAAGATTGTGTTGTAACATGAGCAGCGTAACTCTGATGATCATACACCATGGGTGATCAACTCATCAACACAATACTTTATTATGATAGATAGTGAATGAGTGCAGAGAGCGGTATCTCAGAGTCTCCTTTTACTACTTATATCACACTGGTAGTCCGAGCCAGCATGAGAGTAAAAGGCGCGATCAAAACTCCACAGAAGAACTAAAATTCCATAAAGTGTACAGTATAATAGTGCATAGTAGACCTCTGAAAAACCGGAACGTAGCAAACATGTTAACGAATGGCGAGTGGTGCTAGGATGAAGCCGAGGTGTGGTACTCGAAAAGAATGCGTATCGACAAAATTGCATCCAACATCGAAACAACTTTCTCTGGGATGCGCTCGAGCGATGCTGTACTTGCGAATTATATGTAACTAAGAAGGAATCCATAATAGTGTGGACAATCCCCCTCGCCTTTGCCGAGTACCAGGTCATCATGCTGATGATGATGATGCAGAAGCGGCGTTGCGTAGTGGAGGAGACGGGCTCTTCCGTCGGAAACTAAGCGTCCCTTTAGAGCCCCAACTGTCAAACTGGAGGACGCCTCCCAGAATGCATCCAACGATGGTGAGCATATCCACACCAGTATCGATCTGAGCCGTTCACATCATAGCCACAGTTGAACACATTACGACTAGTACCGTGAAGTGATGACCGTCATAGTTGTTCTTATCCCATTGTACTCTCGCTACCTCTCCCCGGCTCGGGTGGGAGATTACTATACTACTATTAGAATCCGCAACGAAAATCAGACCTGAAACCTTCCATCACTTCATCATAAATCTCCCCACACTACCTGTGATGGAACATTCAGCGCGCGTCTTGCCAAGAACGCTCCTATGCTGCACTATGTTGGCCAACTCCTCATTCTCAGGAGTCGTCAGTACTACATTGTCATCCCTTCGCTGAGCACATACCATACCTCGCCCAACGTCTCCTATTTACTATTATTACATGAATTGTCGACAGCAAAAGCAGCCCAGTCGAACAGTCTAATATCTGAGCGTTTTCTCCGAACCTGTGAGCATCATCATCGCCAATATATCGTCTACCGAAGTTCCTACTTGAGCATGAGCATGATAGGCTTCTTCTTAGAGTCCAGTACGGCACCAGAGTCCCCATCTGCTCCTAAGTTCGCTATGTTCGCCGTCAAATCCTGACAATCGCCACAGAGCTACCCCAAGCCAATCAACGGTATTTCCGTTAGAGTTGGTATCAAGTCTCGCGACAAACGATAATCAGAATGATATAACGATGAACCATAGTAACATACAATATCTACTGCGTAATACAAGTCTCACTATTGACCTTCGCAAACGCTTGCCATAGGAAGCTACCGTGATATCGTGTTTCCCCACTACTACCATTTTCTTCGAAGCGATCCATCTAGGGTTCGAAGACCACCCCATAACTTCGATAGCGGACCGACTCTCGGGCGATCTGATACCAGCTCGATACCATGTCGCGTCTTAGAATCGCCCTATATTACATTGATCGCATAGCTCTCGGTCCAGCAGTGCTGGGCAGGACCGTTGGAGACGATGCATTCTTAGAGGAAGTGCATCCCATAGTAATGACTATTGGCAGAATACAACTGATCGAGACAGGTCGGAGGAAGCAAAGGGGCCTTCAATACAACACCAGTGCCAGGGGATTCACTTCAACGGGTTTGTTACGACGACGAGAGCGATAACGCAATACGATTCACAACTGCGATGGCAATGCCAGCATGACATTCAGCAGACTGCTCTACCCGCACGGAGGCTGAATAGACAGTGTGAAGCTCTTGTGTTGGGGCTAGGTGTAGTTGAAGGTGAAGTTGTTCGAACGAGACCGTCCGATTTTACCCGGGGAGATGCACGGTTGGTAGCTTACCAAAGTCATGGATAATCATATCGATAAGCATTACTCAAGCTATCAGTAAATGAGTCGGTCATCCTTGTTATCCAGTCTTACATTAATTGATACTCTCCACGAGATTGCGAGGATACTGATCGTACCCACTTAACGAATGACCCTCCCTGACAATCAGGTTGATGTACAGAACAGAACACAACGCGACACAAAAAAGGGACAGAAGTCATCAAAAATCAGCATCGGCGACGACTCTTGAGGGTGATGACGTGAAGTAGGCGATCGCTAGCAGAATACTCCGGATATAACTGAATTGCAATACCGGGATGAAAGCGTTCCCATAATGCATCTGGTGATTCTTCAGTGCAACGAAATCGACCAGGCTCGAAACGTGAAGGTTGAGCATCATCAACGATAGTCTATCAACGCGGCGCGCAATTTCTTGATAGAGACTCTCGAGAAGTCATCTTCCAGGATAAGTTGATGTCATCAACTCGACATCGATATTCATAGATATTGAGCAACTCGAAAAGGTATCAATCATAGTCAGTGACAATTAGTCGCTGATGGATGAGACTTTTGTAGATTTGACGTTTTTTTAGTTGGCAAAGCCATCGACAGTGTCGATTCGACACGCCATGTTCTCGAAGGCACCGGGCGGAAAATGCGACAAGGGTAACAGTAGGCACGATCCGTTGCTACCGAGTATTCAATCCAGGGATACTTATCATACCAGGCCCCCACGAAGGCCCGCCCGTTTCTTTTCGAGAACGGACCTTTGGGCTGTGTAAGGCCATCTTTCTTCAGTAGTGAGAGGCCCGATGCCCTGACCGATCCCTCTTCGTACGTCGACGACTCGGAAGCGGGTGGTAGAGCGTCAGCAGTGCTGACTCAGCACCGGTGTTTGGTTCAGCCTTTTCAGTATCATCCTCATCGGTCCTCACAGAATCGGGAGAGGATCTGGTGTCGTTGGGTATCCTCGTGGCATTCGGCACAGCAGACCCCGAGCTGCTCGATCTGGGGTATTTAGCAAGAAAGCCAGTAATCGGCATTTAACGCTTGGTCCAAGCGGCTTGGACAAGGAAAACCACAGACTGGAACCTAACCAGCCGATAAGCGCCCTGAAGCAGTGTATTCCGCATCGGAAGTGAGCGAACACTATATGAGGCTATTGTGTGATGTGTGATTGCCCACGTACAACGAGGCTCAAAGTAAAGTAGTCGCGCATGCGTGCAGCGTTGCACGCACAAACTTCCTCCGAGGAAGTTCCTCGGCAAGAACCGCAAGACTTGGGTCGTGATCCGCGAAAACATACCCCTTCTTTACCCCCATGCATACCGCATGGCCAACCGGAGAAGCTAAGGAGGTCGCTCGCTTACAAAGGGGGGCAGATGCCCCACCTCCCTCCCTGGTTACGCGGCGTACTAAGGTATTAATACGCACTGTTGTGGGCTAGAGAGCTCCAATAGGCCAAACATCTACGATGGGGCTCTCCCACTGGCACAATACTCCTCATCACCAGGAAGTATGTAGCCATCGAGGGTACCAGAGCCAAACTGGCCAGCCAGCATGATCCGAAGATCCCAGGCGAACCGAGACAGTAAACCTTCAGCGCAGTGTCTGACGGTTTGCATTTGCCATAAACAACTGCTATAGCGCGTTTAGTGACATCGACGAAGAGGGTTAGGAATGAAACCAATCGCCTGCCACAGCACATCTCAACTGTTCATACCCGCTTGAACCTCAATCGATGCCGTCGGAATCATCGCATTCAACCACCCCGCATCATCCACGCAGTGCTGCACCAGTAGCCCTACGATTGACTCCCTCACATAGCACAAAACGGTCACAAACGTCATCATCACATTCCCTGTGACGATATACACGTTACGTTGGTAGGTGGATAGCTGTAATAATCACATAGTAGAACTTTCATCAGATAAGAGAGAGAATATAGAGTAGCAGTAAATCCTCAACGGCGGCCGTCGAGGAATAACCATATCTTCCTACAGTGGCTTCTACCACCCCATTAGATTGCGGACCATATCGCGTTCGGCCTTCAACTCTTGTACATTACGCTGCAGCATCGAATATCCAAACCTACAGCAGCTGTGCCGAGAGAATCCCAAGACGGTGTGATAGTACTCAGTCATTTCCAGGCCTCCAACCTTGGTCCAGCTGTGGCCATCAGTGATGACAGGGAACGAGAAACAGAGATCCGTATCAACACCATACCTACAGCAGATAGTTATATCAAAGAGACCAACTACAGGGTGCTCCGGAATGAATACAAAAGTTTACAGTTATTGCAAGCTGTGTCGAACAGACGAGAACAATCAGGGTTTTCAGTGATGGCGAGTCAAAAAAACCGCCAGCATATTTCCTAGTATTTAACAGGAGATATGTGGAACAATATTTTTGGGGAGAAGCCGTACATAATGTACTGTATGTGTCTGAAATCTGAAGTGATCAATGTACGGTATATTGATCACTTCATAAACGACGCTAATCGAGAGGTTACTAACATGAAGCGCTACAAATGTAGCCTACATTTGTCCGGACTTCAGGAGAATAACAGCGTGAAGGAGATAAACGGTGTTATAACCACAGAGATTAGAGACTTACGAGTCTATGCCATAACTCTCCTTGTTCTTGCCAATGACGGCCATAGACACCCACTTGTTGTCCGACCCCAATGCCCAATCTCGCATCTGGTCAATACACGACATCGCCGCTGACGGAGCCGATGATTTCCCTGAGACCATCACATAACGAACGGTACATCTAATACGGACAACTCACCCGCAGCCTCGATGATCTCCTTCCCCCTCTGCTGGACGCGAATCATAAACTCATTTGTGACCCAGTCGGGGTGAGGAACCAAATCCTTAATCTGACATAGTACGTCATTCGCTTCGAAAGGCCATCTTTATACGAGGTCATGTGCGATCCTCTCAATACAACAATTGTCTCTTGTCTATAGTCTCCATTCTCGTTCAGCTCACACCGCGTCCATAATACTGATCCCACTACCATCACTCCAGGGAATTGCAGATTTTCCAACGTCCATTCGAAAACAAACTAATTGCTAAAACTAAGTATAA